CTCATTCCCTTGATGCAGTAAAACGGCTTTCAAGCTCAACTTGCTGCTATCGATGAATAAACGCCATTCAGCTGGATCATATGGCTCACCAAACTCTTCAAACAAGCCGTTTACGTCATGGCAAAAACATGCCTTGTCCTTTGTAGAATAATATTTGTCAAATTTCTTGTGACGATTCCTGTGACAAGAAATTTTGACCTCCTTGCCTCCAGCATGTTGTGTTCTTTCAAGCGTGATGCCAGCAATTCGGATTTCTCCTTCGATAAGTCGAGATCTCGCACCAAATCATTAAATTCGGATTGTGTAAACAGTTTTGGGTTTCTTTCCAATTCCACCTCGAAGTCTTCCTCGCATTCCTCCTTGAATTCCTCCTCACTTTTTGTAACGGTCGATTCAACAGAGGGCGCTCGTTTCCGCTTTGGATAAACAGGATACGGGACCGAACTTGAATGTGGAACAGGTTTTGTCATAGAAGCCACTTGTGGATATTCAACTGTTTTGTGACAATCCGTTGCATGACAAAACGGTCGACGCCATATGGTGGGCATGTCAAAGGACAAATAGCGACTGACAGATAACAAATAAGTGAGTTAGTAAGTAAGACATTAACACTTATCAAAAATAGATGAAGTAAGATAATGTCGATCAGGAAAGAACAAAGCACTACCATGCTGTACATAAATTGTTTATATGAAGGTTATTCAAAAAATCAATTTACCTTGCGCCTGACATCCACCTAGCCAAGCACGTTTTGCACGAACTACATAATACTTTTGGAATCCACGGTTCGTCAAAGTCTCCAGGATCAATTTTAAAATAAAGCCTGTATGCAGTTTGCAACGAAGCAGTGAAATTGACCGATTTTGTAAATATATAGTTGCCACACGCGTAACAAAACTTTTGAGAATCATTTTTACACTTGAATTCACGTTTTGTCGTATACATCGTTAAGCAATGTTTAAGAAAGAAAGCTGTCAAATTGAGTTGGTTGCGTTAGGTTCTCGCCGAGCGGTCTCACAGACACTAGCGTAAATTACATTGTTGAAAATATCCCATTTAATTTTGCGTGACAGCTGGTAGTGTTAGTGAAATGCACCGTATGCGTACACGTCTTACTGGAAGTGGGACATGAACCTAGGAGCGGGACAACGGCCAATCTTGGAACATTCAATTTCCATGATTTTACAAAAAAATTCATAACTTCGACAATTTCCAACCGATTTCATCCATTAAAGGCTCATTTTCTCCAGTTTTTAATGGACTTTAAGAATAAATTATGGAATGATTTTTTGAATCTTTTTATCCCATTAAAAATGTTGATTAAAACAAGATTTTTATGGAAAATTCGCAGGAAAAATAAAAAAAATACTGTAAATTTTTAAATGACTTCAAAATTAAATTTTTAATTAAGACATAATATTCTAGTGAACGATGACAAATTATTTAGCATCACTTTCATAAAAAAAGATTTAAAATTGGTGCACTAGTTCCAAAGATATTGACATTTTAGTAATCGTACTTTTGTCCAAAATTCAAAAAATCAAAATTTTTGTATATCTCAAAAATGGCTCTACTTTAATTTTTTCTGACCACGGCATTGAATTCAGCGTAGGATTTTGCATTAGAAACGTTGGTCAACCACTAAAGTTCACACTTTTTATGTTGTTTTGTAAACTAGTGTTATTTGCCTTTAGCTTTACCTCTTCTCATAGCTCAGATAGAGCGATGTATAAAGCACAGATCTAACGATCGCAAGGTTCATGAGTCGAATCCTGTCTGAAGCCTTATTTTATTTTTTTTGTCATTTATTCCTTCCAATGATGAATCCACATTTTTCGGTTTCCACAACCAACACTTGTGGACCGCTGGTTGGGTGTAGCGATAGCGAGTGTGGCAGTTCTAACGAAACTAGCTTCATACAATGTACAAATCCATTTCGTTGCAGATAACAACGAATAAATTCGTAGAACAAACGAGCGATTTTGTTGTATAAACGAAATTTTATTTTCAGTGTATTTACAGTTCCTAGTCCTATCAGGTCTGTTTTAGAGTATGACCACCTTGGTGGAATTGGTTTGTTTTGAATTCGAAAAAGGAGACTACTTAAAACTACTATTTACAACTACAACTAACCTATAAGTACTATATACACTTAACCAAATATAAACGAATTGTTTATCAAAGCATGTTCTGATGTATTGCATTTCTGCACAAAACTAGTCTTAATGTCATCAATTTTGAAATCTAATTTTGGATCGTTCGCCTCTTGGTGGAGGTCTGAAATTTTTGTGTCAAAGGGATGATCAAGGATCATCCTAAGCAATCTGTTCTGAGCGACCTGGATTTTGTTCCTGTGAGTCTGTGCACATGATTCCTACACGGAGCTTCGTAGAGGATCGCAGATGCTATAATTTGTTTGTATAGACAGCCAGTTTGTTCACCCTTGAGAGGCGGGATCGGTGGCAAATCAGCGGATACAGATACCTAACCAAGGCGGAAAACTTGACTACGGTTTTCTCAAAATGCGACCGGAATAGGAGCTTTTCGTCAAACAACATCCCGAGATAGGTTACATTGGCGCACCACTCAACCCTTGTGCCATCCATGATTACAGTACTAGAGAGAGCCGGTATTAGTTTGGGTGATTGTCGATGGAGGAACATGATTGTTTATGTTTAGGAGGCATTGATTTTGATTTTCCACGTGGTGTCATAATTAGCAAATAGGAAAGTTTGAACATACTGAGAGGTAAGCACATATCATCGGTAAGAGACATGTGTGTGAGAAAATTTGCGAAAAAATCTAAGGGCACCGGTGACTGCAAAGTCGCTAAACCGTAAAATAATTAGCAAAGGCCTCAAGGCATCGTTGGAGCTTGTTTATTATTTCACGAGGCATCCTACCCTTGACGGTTATTGCAGTATCATCTGCGAACAGGACGAACACGCAACCGAGGGGAGGAATGTCAGAAGTGTAAATGCTGTAAAGCAAAGGGCCCAGCAGACTTCCTTGATGCGAAACACCTACTGGGATGGAGAACGTGCTTTAAAGGCAGCCATTCAATGATACCCTAAACGACCTTTGCTGAAGGTAGTTACGGAAGATTTTAACAAGATGCAAAGGATAGGTGAAGTTACAAATCTTGTATACAAGCCCATTGTGCCAGACATTGTCAAACGCCTTTTCAACGTCTAACAACGCCATGGCTGTGGACTTGGATGCAGCCTTGTTACTTCGAATGTTATTCATCACCCGTACAGTACGGGCCGTACTAGCTGATGATTTGTGGAGTGCCTTTTCCTGAATCCGAACTGTTCCGGTAGGAGAATATTGTGTTCCTCGACAAACTTGAGCAAACGGTTGAGAATAAGTTTCTCGAACAATTTGCTCAGCGCTGAAAGGAGGCTGATTGGTCTGTAGCTTGAAGCTAGCGTTGGGTCCTTCCCGGGTTTCTGGATAGGTATGATTTTCGCTGTCTTCCAGATACTTGGTGCAGTTCCAAGCATCTGTTGAAGACAGCAGCCAGCAAGTGAACCTTCATGCTGAGATGTTTCAACACTAGGTTGAATATTCCATCGAACCCGGGGGCCTTCATGTTTTTGATGCATTTCAGCGTTGAGCTAATCTGTTCCACTGTGATTCTATCCTCCTGAGGGATAGCACAAGGGTAGTAATCCAGGTTGAGTACGCATTGCTCAACCTGAACTTCGAGCGGACTTTGGATGTTGAAGCCAAGCAAGTGCGATTTGGCAATATGCTCACCAATCGCATTTGCTTTCTCCTGAGGGGTGATTATGAGTCGATTGTCATCATATTCATCTTTGAGTTGTGGAATGGGCTTGGGGTGCGCCTTTAGGACCTTGGAAACTTTCCAGAATGGTCTGGAGATTCTGGACGAGCCGCCCGAAACTTTCGTTCCGGAGTGAGACCATTCTGGAAGCAATCTACTTGTTCAGATCGGCCATTTCAAGTTCCCTCGCTAGATCTCCGGTTCTTTGGAACTGGCGTCTACGAACATTTTTCAGGCGAATCAAGATTTAGGTGTGGAAATCAATGGCAATAAACTTACCCCTCACAGGAACTCGTCGGACGCACGCAGCCTGGAGTCTCTATAACGCTTGGTCTATGTCCTCCACGGTGTCCGGCGGCGGAAAGTCGATGATGTGCCTGTCTACCACCCTTCCAAAACTGGACCCACACAGAAAAAAAATCTGAATTTTAACTATCGCTTAAAATCTCCCTTCGTTTAAGTTTGAGCTATACTTGGCATAAACAGCGAAATCGTTTACAAGCTTGCATACAATGTTGCTAATTTATGCGATATTGCGCTTCAATTTACACGAACTATCACGTAAATTTATGCCAAATCAAGCGTTAATTTTATGTGCGCTATATCTCGCAGAAATTTACATGAATTTTTCAAACAGTGCAGTTTACGCGGTGGTAGTTCTTGCGCAGGTTTGAAGCAGGGTCAACGTTGTAGCCCGTTTCAGCCACCACCGGTTGGTAGTCGGAGTTGAGTTCGCTCAAGGCTACCGGCTTGGATAAGCCGGTATTTGACAGGAACCGTGTGAGATAAATGTTGGCTCATCCGAAAGCCAAATGGAGTACAGCCCATGCTGCGAGTGACTGAGAATCATTCAATATATTGGCACTTTTAAAGAGGTTTAAAAATAACATAAAATGCACCTGACAGATGAGATGTTAAGCTACGTACCTCTTATAAACCATGATCACTTAATAATGGAACAAACTCTTTTGCTTATTACAGCGCTCCTAGTGAACGTTTTCAGAAGCTTTTGACGTCTATTTGTTAACAAGAACATTGTTTGGGAGACAGTCACCATGCAAGAGGAGCGTAGAAAAAAAAATCGTAACACCTGGAAAATCAATCGTGGTCCACGTCCACGCTGGCTAAAGTATTGGATTTTCCTAGAAACACCGTATAGCACGTGCTTAAAACGTACAAGGAAACTGATTGATGTTGAACTAAACTTAATCTAAATGTATCCCAAGTGTAGAGGACGATCCCACTCATAAGAATCTCCTGTTTCGGTTTTCAGCGCCCATAAGCGCTGCATGAACAGCTTAGCGATGACTATTATTGGTCCCACAAGGCCAAGTGGGTCGAAAATCTGCGCAACGTAGGACATAACTTTCCGTTTAGTCAAAACGGGTGCTGGTAATGGCAGCTGAACCTTGAAGCTCATCATGTCGGATCTCGGTTCCCAGATGAGTCCGAGAGTGGAAACGGATTGGTCGTCTTGCAGGTCATGGTACGGCGCGAATGCTAGATCTTCTTCAGGAATATCGGCTAGAACTTCAGGCGAGTTTGAAGCCCACTTCTTCAGCGGAAAACCAGCCGCTGAAAGCATGGCGGACATTTTTTGGCGTAGGTGGATAGCGGATTCAACATCGTCGGCACCAGACAGGAAATCATCCACATAGAAATCCTTCTGGGCTACCGCGGCTGCGGCTGGATGCATCTCGGCTGCGTCTTGCGCGATCTGCATAATGGTGCGAGTTGCCAGGAACGGAGAGGATGCAAAACCATACGTTACGGTTTGCAGTTCGTACGTAGCAATTGGTAGGTCTGGACTGGGACGCCAGAGGATGAGCTGGTATCGGCGGAACAGATGATGCAGCAGCATTTGCCGATACATTTTCTCCACATCGGCTACGAATGCGATTTGGTGGATGCGGAATCTGATGTGGATCGACAGTAGGTGTTCCTGAACGACGGGTCCAACCAGTTGCAGGTCGTTCACGGAGAATCCAGATGACGTCTTGCACGACGCGTCGAACACGACTCGAACTTTCGTGGTGGTGCTGGATTCTTTGAATACCGGATGGTGTGGAAGGTAGAAGTGTGGCTGGCTTTCGTCTACTGGATCTAGGAGTTTCACCATGTGATTCAGGCGTTCGTATTCTTCCATGAAGCGACAGTAGGCCTCTTTGGTGGTTGGATCTCGCTCAAGTCGTTTTTCGAGGTTCAGGAAACGGCGCTCGGCGATAAAACGTGATTCACCGATAGTGACGAGCGGATCGCGGGTGAGTGGCAAGGAAACGATATAACGACCCGACGAATCGCGAGTGGTGGTAGTGGCATACAGTTCTTCACAGAGATTTTCTTCTGCCGTAAACTTGGAACAGGTTTCAACGGCTTCTAACTCCCAGAACTTCTGGAGGGCTTGTTCCAGATTACGGTCCACAGTGGTGAGGTGACAAACACGGGGAACTTCAGGTGATTGGATGGATACCTTTCCGGAAACAGTCCATCCGAAAGAGGTCTCGACGAATACAGGCTGCCCTTCGCCGAAAGAAATCTTACCGCCAGTGTGCAGTTCGTGGTACACTTCTCCACCGACAATCAGGTCAATGCCGGCTGGAATGTGGAAGCTTGGATCAGCTAGCGGGACATCAGGAAACTTCCACGAGGAAATATCAATCGGCATGGTTGGCAGGCAGACTGTGGGTTTCTTGAGGATGAGAAACTCGAGCGTAGTACTGTACGAAAGTAGCTTGGATCTAATTGTAGCAGTCAACTTGCGCTTGATCTGCTTCGACGTTTCACCGATTCCAGACACGGCGATGTCTACTTTCGTACGACGGAGGTTGAGTGTGTTCGCAAGCTTCTTCGTGATGAAGCTGCTCATCGATCCTGAATGTAGGAGTGCACGAGCGGAATGCTCCTTCCCATTCTGGTCCACAACTAGGAGGTTAACCGTTTCCAACAGGACAGTGGATTGGTACGACTGTACCGACAAGCTCACTTGGGGGTTCGGATTCACTGATCCGGGGTTTTCGACGGCAGTCGACGTGGATGGATTCGGTTGTTGGGATGGCTGACCAGATATAGCTACTGGAGTGGATTGTATCTTCGTGGTTGAAGTTTCGTGCAGCAGGGTATGGTGTTTCTGGTGACAGTTTCGGCAATCGTACTTGGATGTACAATTCCTACTTTGGTGTCCAGAGCGGAAGCAATTCCAGCATAGGCGCTTCTGGGATACCAACTCTCGTCGCTGGCGAACGGACATCTTGGAAAATGCTGGACATTGGAATAGGAAGTGGTTCTCTGGACAGGCGATACAGTACGGAGCGGAGCTCTTGGATTCGGTCGTGGCGGAATTGGATACCATCTTAAATGGCTTCTTCTGGATCGGATTGGAACCGGCCACCTTGGCTTGGCCGGGTTGATTGGAACGATGCTGCAGATCGGTGACGACGGACTTCAACATTCGAACCCTTTGGTACAGGAAATCAACTAACTGCTCGTAGGTGACATCATCACTGCTACTGGTCTTCTCCTCCCAGGCTCGGAGGGTCGTAGGATCCAGTTTGTAGCATAGCAGGTTGATCAACGGGGTGTCCCAGTGGACTACAGGTTCGTTCAGCTTCGCTAAGGCCTTTACATGCCGTTGATAGTCATCAACCAGGTCGTGCAGCTCTTGGGGTGACTCTTTCTTCAGTGGCGGGAGGTCATACAGGGCTCGGAACAGTTGACGCTTCAGGTACCGCTTATTATCGTAGCGTTTCAGTAGAGCGTCCCAAGTTAACGCATAATTATCCGCGACTATGTCGATCGACTCGAATGGCTTGTGAGCTTCTCCTTCCAGGGACTGCAGAAGGTACTGCAGCTTCGCGACAGTCGGAATGTCCGCGTTGGAATGGACCATGGAGGTGAACGTATCCCGGAAGGAAAGCCATCTGGAAAAGTCTCCATCGAACTTAGGGAGATCGACCTTGGGCAACCGTAGGTGGAAATTGGATGAAACTGGGTGATGATTGGCCGTTACTGAAGTATTCAACACTGTCTGGTTGGGATCTGTGGAACGCTTCATCAACAAAAATCCTTTGGCCGTGCAGAATCTCGCTTCGAACGCTGCTCGCTCTTGCAGATGCTCCTCAAACTTCTCAGCGTCATCGTACTTTTCAATCTCCGCTTGCAGCTCCTGGAACTCACTATAGACACGGTCCAACGCCTCAAGACGGATCGGAATCTGGTACACATCGTTCTCGTTGTCGTACTTCTTGATGAACGCCTCAACGGAATCATGAACGACGAGTAGTGCCTTCCGCTTCATCAAGCATTCGGCCAACTTCTTCTCTGGTCTGGACATTCTGATTCACTGCAAAATCACCACTTCACTACCACCACAGTTCGGAAAACGCGGAAACGAAATCGGAAAATCGGTACGTAAATCGGTTAACGAACTCCTTCCCGGCGCGTCGTACCGTTTTCTACACGACGCGAAATCGGAAAATGACACAAATCGTACGTGTTAATCCTTCCCGTCGCGGTGTGCCACTTTCTACACGGACGAAATACCCGAGGATGGTACGCAAATTGAACGTAAAAACTCCTTCCCGACACGGGCGTACCACCCACGCGACTCAACTTGCCACCCACCACCACCAAATACACACATGCAAAATGAAAAACCAAATCAATTTGCAATTCTAGGATTTCCAATCCAATCTTTATTTTCTTTGGAATCTCTCCAGTCGAACACACCGTTGCTTCGCCAAAGCAAACGGGTCAAAAAAAAACTGCCTACTGTGTGGAGGCCGATTTGCACTATTCAAATGGCATCAAATAGCTTGGCTTTGGTCAGCCGTACAAAGCTATTGACCTTAACTACAGGTCGAACAATTGCCAGCGCATGGAAGAAACGAAATGGTGTACTCACCGCACCTGCCCTTCTGGTCGGGGGAACCTTCGATCCGGCTCAAAGGACCAAATGATGGGGCTTACCCGTTCCTTTTCGAAGGATTTTCCACCGTCGTAAAATATCGACGGCCCAGAAGATTCTGTTGTGATGAAAACACCAACGTAGATGGGGTCGATGTATGTCGAATCAGTGTTTTCACAAGTCGTGCCTTATGCACTTGTATTGCACTAATCACTTTCATGCGATATCGGAGATATAGCTACTGTTACACAGTTGCACTTCACTCGCGCACTTTCGGATCAACAACGAAATTCTTAATTGAATGCAATACTGCACTTGTTTCCTTTTCTTCTACGACCGGACAACAGGACAGAAAAAGGGATGTATATCTTCCGACGGTATATTTTGTACTATCTATTTACAACTGTTTTCTATCCTATCCTATGTACAATGCGCAATGGCAATGACCACTACTAGTGGACAACGATATGGGTTGCGCAGACGCACAATTGAATTCTCTCCCTCTCTTCGCTCTTATCACTGGATTAGGGTGATAACCCTTTTAGTTTTAGATTGGTTTCGTATAATTATTAGGTTTAGGTATTTAAATTTAAGTATTAACTATAGGAGTTAATTAGTTCATTTAGATTAGGTTGATTTAAGTACACTTGGGATACATTTAGATTAAGTTTAGTTCAACATCAATCAGAAACCTTAACGACGAATCGGAAGCCTCGAAATAAACGGACACATTCAAATTTTTTGAACCAAAGGAAGTAGATTATAGAATCGATTGAATGTTTATCCACAACTTGCGATTGCAACAGCAGTTAACTCGATCGTATGAAATCCTCATCTAATATCATTAAGCGCTTCCCAGAACTAAGCGAAAAAGCTTACGAACGAATTTTATAACATTCTCATAAATTTTATCCAAAACCATTGTTGAAACTTGAACATTCACAAGCTAGCAAGTTATGGCCAGGTAAAGAAAAGAGAGTTGATGTTTCTTCAAATTAAATCTCCACCATACTATTTATCGCAATTTTTTGCAGTGCGGTCAAACCAGTAATTTTACTGATCGGGCTATTAATTTTGTACAGGTTGTTTGTTTTTGGATGGTGTTTATGATGTCGATTAATTATGTCTATTTAATTAGCAAAACCAAATGAAAACATACCTCGTTTTTAAAGTAGCCCCTCTAAGTCCATTCCAAATGCGACTTGATGGTTTTATGATGAACATTTTCTACAATCAATATTAGTCGTTTACATGCTTCTCATTTCATTACACATCATAAAGGTATCCCACATCCTAATATTATTAATTTTATTTATTTCGTACGAACATGTTAAATTTCCCTTACGCCAAAAACGACCTTCTTCGGTTTGCCTAAAACATAGGCAATCATTCGCATCATTCAAGTCTACTCTAATTTTGATGCTTGCTCAGAATCCCCTTGGAACTCTCTTGAGAACTCACTTGAAATAATTTTAAAAATTACTTTGGAATTTTCCCTAGAATTATTTGGAAACTATCCTTGAAATTGAATGTCTTTGAAACTGAATTCAGTACTTTCAGAACTGCCTTACTTATTTCAAAGCGGTTCCAGTAGCTTCAAAAAATCTGCAGGAACTTTTAAGCAGTTCTTTGAATATCTGGAATTTTCAGAGAACTTAACATGAGTCAAAAAAAAAAAAAATTGGCGGTGTGGAAAAAATTTGAGAAAAACTGTGGAATCTTTCAACAAGTTTAAAGTATCTCAAAAATGCTAGATCTAGAGATCTTTGGGGAATTTCAGAAATCTTATGGGCAGTTCTCGTAAGGCTTTTGAGGAGTTTAAAAATGTATTAGCGTGAGATAAGATATATTCTGAACAGCTTCCATATTCTCCGAGAAAAAAATACGAGATCCCTCAAGATGTGCTGAGAATTTCAGGGAAGTATAGAGACCATCAGAGAATTTATGAAAACTTCAGAGAAATTATGAAAACTTCTGAAATATTTCGGGACCTTAAAAGGGGTTCAGAAAACATCAGAAATGTTTAAAAGTGTCTAGGTGCCATTTATTTCAGAGCAGATTCAAGATATTGTAGAACTTTGAGCTTCAAGGAAGCTTCTCTGATCTGGACGGATCAGAGAACCAAAGGGCACTGAAAAATCAAGGAATTTCCAGAAATCTTACAGAACTTTCAAGCAATTCAGGGAAATTCCGTAATCTTCATCAAAGCTCCGAGAGAATTTATATAATTTAAAAAGAAGATATATTACACACTAATATTATTTCACCGAAATCTATGAAATTTTACCGAAATTCCAACAGCTGAACTTTCGGTAAACAGTTCGGTGATTTTTCACAGATTTCCTGTAATCGAATATCTGTGAAAAACTACAGGAAATCTGTGAAAATTCACTGAACTGTTTACCGAACGTTCAGTAAAATTTCACAGATTTCGGCAAAATAATCTAAGTGTGTAACATCAGAAAAATGTGAGAGGATTTAAATAATTGTGTATAATTATCATGGGAATTTCAAAAGCTTAAATAATTGACTTAAATTGACTAAAGTTTAAGTTGATTGGAAAACTTCAAGGCAGTTCCACTTATTTTAAAAAAAGAAAAGATATCGTCAAGAAACTCCAGGGATCTTCAAAGAAAATATTTAGAAACTTTTATAAAGTTTCACGATATTCAGTGAAATCCCTTACTAAGTGTTTGCAGAGAATGCATAAAAGTTCAAGGAAAATAAGTGATTTAAACCCAATTTCTATGAGAGTTTATGAAATTTACGAAAAAATCGAAAAAAATTATAAAATTAAAGGCAATTAAATTACCTTCAGTAAAATTGAAACTACTTATGGGAAATGACTCTAATGTTGGCCTATGGGTCTGAAAAATCGGCTATTTATCAATTTTATCTAGATGAACGCGTCATTGGGACGGTACTAATATATTTTGGGACGCTATTGAAAATATAATCGATTGCTGTATTTATGAATAGGCCCAAATTAGGGGCACTTAGGCCGACATTACATCAATATCCCCTATTTATTTACTGTCTCATCTTCGACAAAAAAATCGTACCGACTATTTTACCTAATATTCTTAATCCTATTTTAAAAATTGCTTTTGCTAATCACAAAATCGAAATCCTCATTATTATCGTTAAAAGCTCGCAGACAAGCGTCGAATGGATTGTTGAAAGCGTTACCAGTCCGGTGAGCCAGCGCAGCGACAAGTTGTGAGCTCTTCAACAGTCGGAGTGGAACGTACAGAGGGACATCCTGTAGTAGTTGAGGACAATCAATGTTGTAAGTAAGTCGAAAATAACTAGTTCTTGCGCCTAGAAAGCAAGGATTCCAGGTCAATCAGCATACAGCGTGCAGTATAGTCAGGCAGATTAAGCGGGTCGTTTCATGGAAGGTTGCGCAGCGTGAATCGAATGAAATGCTTTAGAATTTGTTCGATTCTGATGATCAGCGATGCGTGATAAGGTGTCCAGACGGGGCCGCGTGTTATATGATGCTGCGGACCAAAGTACAGAACAATGTTTTTTGTGCAGAAATGTCTGTGAACTGCCACGTATAGCGTCGAATACATCCAAAAACCGTAGAAGCTTTAGCCGTGACAAGTGCAACATGTTCGGTGAATCTTAACTTTGAGTCAATAGTAACACCAAGATCGAAAATTGAGGTAAAACGCTCTAATGGTACGGATCCACTTGACGCCGGGATTCAACCTCTCGAAACAAAGTATTAGCAACCGGTGGAAACTAACGATTTTAAATTGGCTCACTACTTGACTAGCCTTTTGGTCCCAAACAAATACATTAACGCCCCCATTGCAGTCGAAATTCTAGTACTACACTATGTTTGTTTTGATTTGCTATGAAATTTTGACATATACAATGAGGGGCTCGTGGATTTTCCTATGTTTCGAGGGGTACATCGATTAGCTTGGGACCGAAGAGAGTTCCAGAGCTGAGCCAAAAAGTTGAGCACGTTTCTTCGGGACTTTCTGGTCTTAGAGTTACCTCTATAGTAGCACAGCAAATTCGTAGTAGTAGAGCGGTGCTGGACAAACCATTGTTGGAACTCCGATATTATAGGATGAACCACATGGTACAGAGCGTTGTACACTAAGGTTACAAAGACCTTGCTAATGCAACATAGAAGCGATATTCCACGGTAATTTCCAGCTCTTTTTCGATTACCCGCTTTATGGATTGGCACAATTGAACCTGCCTTACAAACATTGCGAAATCATCTTTCGCTCAACGAACGGTTGAGTATGCAGGTGATGGGAGAAGCGAGTGAGCGTGCGCAATATTTTTGCAGATATGGGGGTATACCATCTACGCCAGGGTCTTTAGAAACATCGAGGTCGTTCAAGGCTTTAATGACGTCGTCCGGTGAGAAACACATCGTTTGAAGTTCAGATTTTACACCT